CTCTCTCTCTCTCTCTCTCTCTCTCTCTCTCTCTCTCTCTCTCTCTCTCTCTCTCTCTCTCACACACACACACACACACACACACACACAGACACGTATCTGGGTGAAGGGGTGATTACTGTGAAAATCTGAAACATGCAGACATGTTGGTCGCTCCCTTCTTCTGCTACAGGAGGACTCAGTTCTTTCCCAAGCACATTTTTCCATGTACGTGTAGAGCTCTCTGATCTTGATTTCAGTTCGACACATGTCGATACCAGCATCGATGGGGCTCCTCTGTCCCATTTTCTGGACTGTAGAAGGAGCACGAAGATTGCCTGTTCAGTGTTCAGACTCGTGTTTTCCTTTCACTTACAGGAGAGGCAACAGAATAGTATAGTAGGAGTGGTTGGAGACGAGAAGACGAGGAGCAGGTTTGTTGTATGGTCCTTTCAGTGATAGGAGAGGCAGTGTAATGGGGCGATTCGAGAGGAGAAAATGATGACGAGGCCAGCTTGCTAACTGGAAAAGGGGACGAGAGAAACAGTACGGCTGATCGTTGGTGTTTCCTCTCGCTGTGACATGAAAATACGATCTTCACACTTCAAAAACTGCCTTCTCACTGCCCACTTCTGTTTCCTGTTTTTCTGCGTCGCTTATGCCTAAGGCACACCATGCTCAGTGCTTGCTGAACAACTGGCCTATTGAACGTTGTTTTCTTCTTTTTTTTAATAACAGCCAAGTGCCAGGAACATATGCTTTGCGTTCTTGTCTTCTCCTTGCAATTAGTAACGGTATTAAGCCCTTTTGCCCTCCTGGTCTTGATTTCTCCACCCCTCAATTTGTACCCCAACGCTCAAGATCTCTTCTCGTAGGCTGATCAGTCAGTCAGACTGTCAGAGCTCAACAAAACAGTGTATCTCCATACGCATTTTTTACCCCAACGCTTTAGATGTCTTTCATCACCATTGGGCTTTTCCCCGGTTCTCCCTTCCTGTCGATATGGTAGTTTTTTTTTGTTTTTTTTTTTGGAAGTCCAACAACAGTGTCGGAACCAACCTTGTGTTCCTGTTGTTTCTTATCTTTCTTGTCCCCCCCTCTCCATCCCCCCCGCCTTCCAATCACCTTCCTTGCCATATGCTTGCTTCATGTTCGAGGGGTTATGCCAGATGTAGTTTTGTGAGGTGAAAGGTTTTTAACTTGTTTTGTGCGCCCTGTATCTGGACGCATATGAGGATATGTCTGTATATGTGCAAACACATGCCGGGATGGACTGTGGTATTGGCTATCTATTGCACGCATAGCAGTGTGTCCGGAGCGGTCGGTCACCCTCGACCGTTGGTCGGTGATGTGCGAGTACTTTTCGATGAAGAAAATCTTCGAAACTTTGCAGCCTATGTCGTGTCTTGTGAACATCAAATGCATGTGTCCTCCGGGAAATTCCTTAAAATGGGGGAATGATACAGAGAAGATTAGCATGGCTCCTGTACAAGGATGACAGTGCATGACACATATATCGTGAAATGGTAAAAAAAAGAAAAAAAAAACTCCTGTACACTCTGCAACTCACCCAAAAGAGTCAACCGGGAATGATACAGAGAAGATTAGTGTGGCTCCTGTACAAGGATGACACATATCGACGCAAGGAGTGCAATTAAAGGGGGGGGGAAAAGGCAATTGGAATTCATTTGTTTCTTTATATGAAAAAAAAAGAAGGTTGTGTACACTGTACACCAAAGTAGACAAAGCAACTGTGTGTAGGAATGGCCAGTACACCAGTGAACATCGTACGAAAGCTGACCGCAAATGCATGTTATGGAGACTCTTGACTAGTAATGTTGTTGTGGACAACCATCGATAAACACGACCAACCGAATCAATCTAGTCACGCTAGTCTTTGCAGCCATTGCTGATCGACAAGAAGAAGAAGAAGAACAGGAAGTCTACGAAAAAGAGACGAGGGAGGAAAGAAGAAGAAGAAGAAGAAAGAAGGCTGTGTTTTCTTTTGTTTTCTTTTTTATCTTTTTAATAATGTTGTGATCTGAAAGATGGAAAAAAAGAAAAGAAAAAGAATGGTATCCCACCCAGGCGGTAGATGTATCTCTGCGGTGGAAGTATTTCGAGCCAGTTCTTTTCTGAGAGAATTATGTTATGCTAGGCTACCAGCCGGGCCGCCCGGGGCCCGGGTGGCCAGCCCGTGCAAGGATCAGGGGAAGTCCCAGCGCCAGAAAAAAAAAAAAAAAAAAAAAAAAAAAAAAAAAACACAAAATAACTATGTTATGCAGAAAAATAAACTGAACAACTTTTGCATCAGGGTCACATCGAAATTCTTCACCAAATTTAAAATAAAAAATATAAAAAATAAACTTTAAATTTTATTTTTTTATTTTTACTTTTTTTAATGTTTTTGGCCCGGCTGGGCAAGTGACCACGGGCCACTCTGGTAGCCTAGGTTATCATGCAGTTATTCTGAGTCCGTGGCCTATTTTTGGTTCACTGGGAGCGGCTGAAAGATGGGAAAAAAAAAAGAAAATGGTATCCCACCCATGCCGTAGATGTATCTCTGCGGCGGAAAGTATTTCGAGCCAGTTCTTTTCTGAGAGAATTATTTGTCCGCCATTTTTCCACTCGAGTACAGTTCTGTTGTGTAGGTGGTCTCCGTGTATCCATGTTGGAAGCAGGCTACTTGCAGCATAGAAGACAGAAAATAGGGAAGAGAAGTTGGTCTGACAAGGAGAAAGCCAAGTTTCGCATGCACTCTCTGAGCACGTGTGAAGTTTGAAAACAGCAAGCCACATTTGACTTGTGCACTCTCGTGTGAGTGTGAAGTTTGTCTGAGGATGCATGAGCCGGGTTTTACGCCATTGGAGAGTGTCAGTAATCTCCAAGCCAGCACGCATGCATGCGCACATGCATGAACACGTGCACATACAGAGTTCTGCATGCATACACGGTGCTTTTGTTCGCAAATGCACATGTACACCTGCTGCCCTGCACACTCTAACATGTCTCATGAATCCACACGTGCTTAGATGTGCATGTTATGTGCAGATGTGTAATTGATTGCATGTCTGCAAAATCTCATGAATGAACACGTGCTTCAATGTGCATTTTATGTTTACATATGTGCAATTGATCGAATGCATGCACAGTCGTGCACATGCATCTGCATGTGTGCCAAGAACACACTTGTGCACAGACATATCCACACATATTTTATGATCCTGGCCAATTTTGAAGTACGCATTCACCAGAAAAGGAAAATGCTGTCCAATTGCGAAAAAAAATGAATAAACTTGAGAGGAGAGAGAGGGTAAGAAGAAGAAAAAGAAAGAAAGAAGAAGATGATGATGTACACCAGCATAGACCAATGATAATGCTCTTCTTCTTCGCCAACCACTTTCCTTCTCCTCCTCTCTTATTCACACAAGAAATACTAATAATAATGTTGAATGGCTGAACTAGAATCAATGTCCGAATCCCTCTTCTACTGCAGGTATCACATGAGGTCCACCATTGCCATGGCCACCCTTCCTCCTCTGTCCAAGGCCGAGGCTATGGCGGACTACTAGGACATCACCCTGATGTCCAAAGAACAACACAAAGCAGTTATGGCTGCTCTGACTCATGCCCTGCCTGACTCTGCCTACAAGCTTCGTGGTGTAGCCTTACCCAAATTGGGGCCTTCTTGCTGCAGCGTCCACCAAGCGATGAAGATGGCAACCACCATAGCCAGGTAAGTACCTCTGGCGCTCCTCCCTCCTAGTCCTGGTCTTCTTCCTCCTGTTCCCCAACAGCGCTGCTCCAGCCAGCGGTCCAACCAACGTGTTGCCGAACTTGCACACCGAAAATGAGGAGTGACAGGCTCCTCCTTCAGATATAGTGGCCTGCTTGCCTCTTGGCGAGCAACTTCCCAGGCCGCGCTGCCTCCAAGCAACTGGCGGGGCCTTCAAGCAACCGGTACCTCCTCCCTTTCGGAGGGAAACATAATTGCAGACTTTGATGTTGCCCGTACATGCCCTAGACTCAGACTGGTTGGACTGGTACCCGTGTAGACCTGGCCAACAACTACGGCGCCTTTAAAAATGTCAGCTTTTGTTTTGTTCTGCTTGGCCTCGAGTACCCGGCACGCATACCTCTACTTGGTGTGGTGCCGGCCTATGAGTGTTTTCCACTGCTTCTAGTGTCACGGGCCTCTTTTCCAGCCACTTGAGTGTTTTCCCCCGCTGCAATCCTCAATGCCACGACCACAGGTAAGTACCGGCCCTTCGGGCCCACGAACAAGTGCCCTTGCAGGTCACACATACACTCAAGCCAACAAGCACTTAGACAGACATGCAGACCAGCAAGCGTGCACACACACAGAGACTTTGATAACTCAGTAACAATTGAGAAACTCAGCAAGGTATTCAGTCCATGAGACATACAACTGATTTCTTACATCACCCCCCTCTTAAGAGCGAGGTCCCTTCGAGCGAGCAACTCATTCTGAGTCCTCAACAAATGCGTTGTAAGCAAACAAAGCAAAGAGATTTTGAGAGTACTCAGTATGCGAGTTTTGCAAATATTTTAGGCACATCATTAGAGGCTAGTTGTCGCTCGTAGGCTTTAACAATCCGTGGTGCGCTGTTCAACAGTTCCTTCTTGGAGATCCAATAGAGATCGTCCAACGGATGATACATCAGATGAATCTGGTATTGTCTATTAGGTCCTTACCTACGTGTTGTTTGATTCTATTGATTTCATGATTGCCCTTGATTGTGCGGGGAATCATGTTTTCACGATAGTCAAAGGGATCTGCATCGTCTTTGTACAATAGGTGACCTAACGGCCGCCCGACTAAACATGCCAATAGTGACAAAATTCATGTGAGCTACTGAAGAATATGCAATGATCTTTTTCAGATCGATTTGTCTTAATGTAGTTAAGGARGTATATATTATAGCAATCACACTAAGAGTATAAATGAAAGGAGTGAAATAAAGAGTAGCTTCTGGAAACATTGGTATTGAAAATCTTAAAAAACCGTAAGTTCCCAATTTTAAGAGAATTCCCGCTAAGATAACAGATCCAGCGGTGGGTGCTTCTACATGAGCTTCAGGTAACCAAATATGAACTGGTACCATAGGTACTTTCACTGCAAAAGATGCAAAAAAAGCAATCCATAGCAATATTTGACGTCGTTCGCTAAATTCTGTTGTTAATAAGATTTGTAAATCAGTGGTTCCCGTTTGAAACAAAATCAATAAAATAGCTAAAAGCATGAAAACGGATCCAAGTAAAGTATATAAGAAAAATTGATATGCTGCTCGTATTTTTCTCTGTCTAGAACCCCATAATAGTTCCGGAAGTGTACACTTTTGATAAATCTAAGCTGTGCCCTAAATCCCACAATAAATGTCGAATTCCGTTGCTCATATGATAGCATAGTGCTAAGAAAGCTAAATTGAACAAACTGAAGATTAACCAATGAAAATAACAAATGAAGTAAAAAACAAACAAATAAAAGTGATAAAAAGTCAGACTAAGTTCGTGGTGCGCTGTTCAACAGTTCCTTCTTGGAGATCCAATAGAGATCGTCCAACGGATGATACATCAGATGAATCTGGTATTGTTTATTAGGTCCCTTACCTACGTGTTGTTTGATTCTATTGATTTCATGATTGCCCTTGATTGTGCGGGGAATCATGTTTTCACGATAGTCAAAGGGATCTGCATCACGATGTATGTACAGTTTTGATGCATTAAGGACTGGGTATGTGCCTAGATGAGGAGGCACAACAACTGTGTAAGAGGGGCCGAACTCATCCTTACCAATCACGTCAAGAACTTCCCAAGGACCATAGCAAAGCGGGAGAAGTTTGTTTGACACTCCCCCTTCTGAAAATTCAGACATCTTGACCTAGACATGACTTTGAGGGTTGGCGTTTGTTGTTCGCATGACATGTTGTAGCTTG